CGGGAAGCACGGTCGCCGGGGGTAGAGGAGATGTGCATGGATGTGCCTGTGTGTGTCAGTGAAGTAGGACCAGTGGCCAAGGAAAGCGATGTCAGAGTCATTGATTGTGAGTGAGTTTGGGGTGGAGCTAAATGATGGGGTCAATGATAGCGCGGAGGATTAGCGCTGAGGAGTGATCGACAGGCGATTATGAAATCTCACTTTTGAACTGCGGGAGGAGCTCCGTAGTGGACGAGGGCGTTGTTAAATATGAAGTAGGAGTCTGGGGATGTGGTGGTGTTGGTGACGGTGAGGAGGAGGGAGTGGTTTGTGTTCTGGAGACCGGAGAAGGAAGGGAGAGAAGTTGAATTTGCAGGGGTGGAAGTAAGTTGACCATCGAGGGAAAGCTGTAATGAAGCGTTAGCGACGGAGCCTATAAGGTCTATGCCAGTGCCTGTCAGAATGTAAGATGGATGAGAAGAGAAGAGAGGATGCGAATGGCGGACCGTTCCATTGTATTTGGAGAGTGGCGCCGTCGAGGGAGGTGATGTGGTAGCTGGAGCCGTTGCCGATCTGACCTGGAGCAGAGGCAGAGCCGGAGAGGGAGTAGAGGAGAGACCAGGCAGCAGAGTAGTCTGGCTCTGGAGAGTAGTCAGTCTGTGGATAGTATGCGAGGGAGGGAGAGTCATCGTCGACGAAGAAGAGGAGAGAGTCGAATGCCATTCATCCAGTGAGGCTGAGAGAAAAAAGGGTGAGAGCAGGAGAAGGGGAGAGACGCGCAGAGGCAGAGGCCGGCTGCAGAAGAAGGCCTCGAGGTCATCTCAGACGCTCACTCACTTATTTATCTTATCGGGATTTGTCATGCCCGCCACCATCAGCCACCTCAACGACCCACTCAACGCACACGCTGTCTCTTCGATCGACATGATTGATCCCCACCTCCTCCCCCGTCCCGCCTCTCCGCTCTTCTTTCCTACTCTCCTCGCCTACATCCACTCCCTCGCCCCCTCCCTCCCTCTCGACCCCGTCATACTCCAGTCCCTCCTCCTCTGCCTCATCGCTGGTCACAAGAATCTCATCCTCCGCACACGCGAAGAGGACGTCGGTCTCGTCTCAAAGCTCGCCACCCTCGTAAGCACCTCCTTACCCTTTGCCTGCATCCCTTCCACCCTTCCACACACAGGCCCTCTCCTCCATTTTCGGCTACACTGCCCACAAGTCCAAGTTGCATTCTGACGCAAAATCATACTCACCCTCCCATCTACTCCACTCCCTCTTCTTCCCTCCATCCACCCTTCGCACAGACGATCCAACTCTCAGTCCCTCAAAGCGCCGCGACCGTATCAGACGCAACTCTACTTCCCGTCCCTCAACCGCTAAACAGTCTCTTCCTCCACCATCCATCAAGACTCCCCGCTCACGCAATATCTCCTTTCCACGCTCTCTCTCTTATCCTTCCGATTCGCAGCAGTCCTCTTCCGCACCTCACAACACAGATGGCTTAGATATATCCTCTCTCGCTGCAGATCTGCCCGGTCTCACTCCACGTCCTAATCTCCATCCTCTCGGTGTACACACCGATCCATCCGTTCCCACCTTGCTTTCCGCTCTCCAAGATCGTACTGATTACTTTAATGTACAATCTCTCGATCTTCCTTCCTCAGTCGTCGTATCCGGTCTCGAACATGCAAGTCTTCCCGCTCAAAGGGCTCTACTCCAGGCTTTGACCGACAGAAAACTCATTCTTCACTCTCATGACCTCCCCTCACACTCGGAACAAATATCCAAGGACTTTCCACCCGATTTTATTCTCGTCTACGTGTGTCGCACAGATCCACACGAACGACCTGCTCTTTACAAGAGTCTTGTGAGTCGTCCATCTTTTTGCTTCGTCGGTGTACCTAAGTCGTGAGCCAGCTCGACAGGTTTGCCATGAGTGCAACCGTCACCGTCCAATCTTCGACAAGGATCGCAATGCGCCAGCCACACCCTTATCGTTTCCCTTCCTCCCCATCCAGCGCCCTCCCCTCTCCGCTCAACCCCATCGCGTCCCTAACCCACATTCAGTCCCACCCATCCCCTTCCCTTCGTAGTTCAGTCCTCCCGCCCGCCGCACAGCCCCTCATATCTCCGTCTTTGCTGCAAGGTCTCCACACCCTCAGCACGGCACATATCCGCTTTCGCGCGCCCCTCCAGCTATATTCCGCGGATCTCTTCACCGCGGTGAGGCATTACCATGAGCTAGACGGAACGCTGCTCACAGCGCGCTCACGTAAGGACGCAGAGGACCTCATCCGCGCCGTTCGCGTCCTCGGCGCAGACCTCACAGGCGCAGAGCTGCTCAAGGAGGCGACGAGAACACACGACGACGACACAGACGCCGACTCCCACGCCGACTCCACCTCCCTCCAACGCCCCTCCGAGCGCGGCTCGCTGCACGACGATGCGGCGTCGACGTCGCACTCGGTGGACACGAAGGGGGGCGTACCGTGGATCGAGGAGGCGCTGGAGCTCGAGCTGGATGTGTGCGAGGCGGATGTGGCGCGTGTTTTCCCTCGTGTGGTGACCCACCGCTTGCGCGTGCGGGATTCGCCTGCGGATGAGGTGTTGAGCAGTGCCGTGTGTGGTGCTGTGGGCGGGTGGACGTGGTGGCGGGATAAGGCTGGGGAGACGGCGGGGGGAGCGGGCGCGAGGGCGAGGGCGAGGGGCGCGGATGGGACGAGTGAGAGGAGTACAATTAAAGATATTCTCGTTCATGTTCTTGCGGAGGTGTAACGTAGTTAATATTGCCTGTGTTCATAGTAGCTACGTATAATTACAGTAATTCTTTTCGAACGAATTTCGTACTTTTCGACAAGTTGGTCAATTTGGCTGGTTGGCTGAAAGCAGTTTTTGCACCCCTGTCAAAACCACGTGGCTTACTCAGTCTCATCATGTCGACGGCAGATGAGCCAAACCCATACGAGCTCCTAGAGCTCCCACTAGAGGCGACTGAAGCACAAATACGGACAGCATACAGAACGCGATCACTAAAAGTCCATCCAGATAGGGTACGTCTCCCCCGCAGGCTTGGAAGCACCGCCCTGCTAAAATCCATCCATTAGAACCCTGATGACCCCGATGCAGGTGCGTTTGTTTTGTGCAGGTGGTGTTATGTGTGCTATGTTTATAATGCTACGTATGACACCCAGCACGTAAATTCCATACCCTAAACCAAGCCTACTCCCTCCTCCTCGACCCCCTTCGTCGCCTCGCGCTCGATGCACAGCTCCGCCTGGCAGCAGCGCGAAAACAACGCTTCGCTGGGTACGACAAGAAACGTGCGGCGCTCGTGACGGAGTTGGAGGAGAGGGAGAGAGAGGTGAAGCGTGCAAAGGTGGAGAAGCGGCGGGAGGAGGAGATGAGGGAGGGCGAGAACGAGCGGATACGGGAGGCGGGGAGGAGGATGAGGGAGGAGAGGGAGAGGGCGGTGAAGGAGCGGGAGGAGGAGGCGGTGAGGGAGAAGAGGATGGCGGAGGAGGATGTTCCACCTGAGTTGGGTGCGTTTTTAAAAAAGGATGCTCTTT